TGATGCTTATTGAATGACAGTACACTTTCACAAAGGAACATTATGCAGCTATGAAAAAAGAATGATGAGGCTTTTTGTGAATTAATACGAAAAGATCTTCAAAACATACTGTTGGATAAAAATGCAAGGCATAGAGCAGGGCAGTATTCACCTGCTTTTCATCAGAAGAGGATAATGTAAGTAAGGATTCTGATTTGCTTATATTTCTAGAAAGAAATACTGGAAGGATACCCAAGAAACAAATACTGATGGTTATCTATGGTAAAAGTGGCTTGGTAGACAGGTATGGGGGTCACATAAAGACCTATTTATTTTGCACTAATTTTTGAACTGTGAGTACATTATATTTTCATATATTTAAGTCCTTCCAGAATAAAATAGATAAAATTGCAAAAATGTGAACATTAAAAGGTAATCCAGGAGGTAAATATTTGCCATGTTTGCAACAATAAATTATACAAAGGGTTAATATCTCTAATTTACAAAAAGTTCCTAGAAACCACTAAGAAAAAGTTAACAACCTGGTATAAAAATAAGTAAAGATTATGAACAGGCAACTCACAGATGAGGAAATACAAGCAATTGATAAAAAGTAAAAAGATGTTGACCATTACTAATGATCAGTGAAATATAAATAAGCAATCACAGTATGCCACATTTTACCTATAAGACTCTTCCCTCCCCCCAAAAAAATACAACAAAAACAACCAACCTGATAGGAGAGTAAATTGATGGAATATTTTATAAATCAATTTGGCAGTACCAATCAACATTTCTAAAGTATACAGTCTTCAACCCAGCAATTCTTTTTTTTTTTTAATTTTTTTCTTTTTTCTTTATGATACTGTAAGTTCTGGTATGTATGTGTGAGAGAAAGATGCTTGCATTCATTTTTAATAAATATTTAAGTTCTGGAGTACATGTGCAGATGGTGCAGGTTTGTTACATAGGTATACATGTGCCATGGTGGTGTGCTACATTCATCATCCCACCATGTACATTAAGTATTTCTCCTAATGCTATCCCTCCCCTATCCCCCCATTCCCTGCTATCCCTCCCCTAGCCCCTCAGCCCCTGATAGGCCCCGGTATGTGATGTTCCCCTCCCTGTGTCCATGTGTTCTCATTGTTCAACATCCACTTATGAGTAAGAATATGCAGTGTTTGCTTTTCTGTTCTTGTGTCAGTTTGCTGAGAATGATGGTTTCCAGCTTTATCCATGTTCCTGCAAAAGGACATAAACTCATCCTTTTTTATGGCTGCATGGTATTCTATAGTGTGTATGTGCCACATTTTCTTTATCCAGTCTACCACTGATGGGCATTTGGGTTGGTTTCAACCCAGCAATTCTTCTAAGACTCTCACCTACTGAAATAGCTGTACTTACACACACTTTGCAGTGTATTCTATAATAGAAAAAAATAAAAAGGAAAGAAAAAACCTAGATGTCCCACAATAAGGAACTAATAAGATAAATTATGACACAGTTTACATTATACTTAGAAACTATTAACAAGAGAAAGCAGTTTTATATGTAGTAACATGAAAGGATTCCATAATCTATTATTGAATGGGAGAATATGATTTGTGAAATAATTGGAAACAATTTGTATTATCCCACTTCTTGAAAATAGATGTAAGTATACAGATACACACTATCAGTATGCATTTCACTGTGCATAGAAGAAGAGTTCTGGTAGGATATACACCAAATTATTAACAGTACTTATCCCTGAAGAATGAAGAAAGGTAATTAGAGAAGTGTGTTTTATAAAATTTTATGTTGTTATAATTTTTTTGCCATAAGCACTTGTTACTTTGGAATTTTCAAAGCATTTAAATATTGAAGGCACTGCTAAAGTGGCAGCTCGAATCTCTTCTGAAAAAGGAGGTTCCCCCTCACAGCCATGGCAGCAATTTCCTTCTCTACCCACTACTCATCAGGTCTCAAATGTGAGATGAACTTCAGAGAAACCACATGTCATAGTAAAAAATTCACCAGACTTATGTATCTGTTCAAGTGGCTGGCAGATGGAGTTCTATCACCGTATCATGAGAAAATGCTATTCATTCCCCATTCTGTTCCATATCCCTTACCACAAGAGTCAGGATTGGTTCTCTGTAACAAGCATTCGGGAATAACCTCAACTCCCCTCAGACCATTCATCGGCCACATAGACACCTTATGGGACTTTGGTCAGCAATGAAAACTATGTTTCATCCCAAGTTACAGCTCTAACCAAGGGCAGTGACTGTCCAGAACTTTGTGTTAAAGATTCTGCAGCTACTTGCAGGATGGATGGGGAAAGAATGATGCCATCAATTAGTGATGTCTGCCAAGGAACTGTAATACATAGGCTTTCAAGTCGGTCATCCCTGCCCTTGTTCAATGGGCTCTGACTCTCTAAACCTCAGACTTTAAAACCTGCCAACTCTACTTGGTGTTATGCTTCAGGTGGGGGAAGCTGAAGGTGGAGGGAGGTGGCACGGGTAAAGTAAGGTGAAAGCTGACTGTGACTGTGTCATTATGTAGTATGTCTATTGGAAGACTATGAAGATGTGGGGTGTCTGAGGAAGGAGAAGGGGGCCCTCACAGGTGGATCTTTGGCTCCAAACAGCTGCATATGGAAGACTCTGAACATCTGGTTGCAGTGCTGGTCTGAGGTAAGCCCTGAGCCTGGATTCCATCTGTCACGTTTTACTGAGCTCATATCCCAAAGACTCATCAATTGTGCCCATGTTAAGAAACATGCCTTTCACAATTTTGAAACCTCCAAGTGCCCTGTTAATTGGCAATTCACTCATTCCCATAACCAAAAACAGAAAAAAGAAGCCAAAGCCAAAAAATCCCAGAACTTCACGTGTTGTAACTAGAAACACTCAATAAACAAAGCTAGTCCTTGAGATCCCTTGGAGAGTAATTGTCTAAGCATGCTTCTTTCTTTCAGCTCGTGAGACAGACAGACGTGCTAAGACTGTATGGAGCTCATCTTGAAAGCATTAATTTTTCCAAACACTGATGTGCAGCTCATGTGCTTTTCCTGAGCAAGTGGCAGCAGGCAGTGAGGAGGCTGCTGAGGACATTGCTCCATGCTGGGTCTGACTGTAGCAGCAACAGGGATTCAGAGGAAGTGGTCACGCTAAAGCTTGGGGGAAAGTTGGGAATTTGGAAGGCAGAGGCCAAGGCCCAGGCACCATGACCTGTCACAGGGATGGGCTGCACAATGCCTATGCACTAACGGATTGGATTACCACTTACAAACTGGAAGAAAAGAAAGCAGAACCAATATCGTAATGCCCTTTGAGGCCCATTCCCTTGGAGCCAAGTTGGCAATCAACCAAACTATTCTTCCTCACAACCTGTAGCTCCAACAACCACACACAGTGGCCAAGCACCAGGAGAGGTGGGTCATTTCTGGGTGTTGGTCTTTAAACCATTTTCCCTTCTTTTTCTCCCCAATTAGAAAAGGGAATCTACAGTGGACAATGTGATTTGGTCATCTACAGTTAAATTGTTGTTTGAGCCCCAAGTCCCTTCCCACTAAAAGGTCAGGGGCACCCTCCCTACAGTCTGTTCACATGAAACACAACAAAACCAACCACGGAGGCAAGGAGTCTCATCATCTGCCTAACACAGACATACTCAACAATTAGGATATGTCAGAAGTTCTGTCAGACTTAACAAGACAATCTCCAAGTTGATTGTTACCACAAGGCCCATGCATATCCAACATGATGCCAGGATTATCACTGGGAATCAGTGCTACACACACACCAGCATAATTGTTTTGTCACCACCAAAGCTCCGCAGCCAACTGTCTTCATATACCAATTCTAACACTTAGTTGTGTGAGATCGGTCAAATTACTAAACTTCTTTGTGCCTCTGTTTTCTGTAAAATGGGGATGATAATAGTATTTAAATAACTTCATAAATGTAAGGTGCTTAGAATAATATCTGGCACACAGAAAGCATTATATATGTGTTTATCATTATCATTATGTGATCAGCCTTCATTTTTCCATGTTAAGCTATCTCTTCCCTTTGAACCACTGCATATGCTCTTCCTAGGCTTGAGACATTGTTTCCTATCCGGCCTTCATCTAGCTATCTGCTAATTTTTCAGGTCTCCAGGAAGCCTTCCTGGCCAACTCAGCTGGGCCAGCCACCCCTGCATCTGCACCCACCACATCTTGTGCTTTCTCAACCCTGTATTAGCATCCCCATATTATCATCTGTCTCCCCAACCAGGTCCTGTTCATTGGTGTATCCCTAGCGCCTGGCACAGAGAAGTCACTCAATAAATATGTACTGAACAAATGAATGGGAAATAGATGAAGAGCAGCTTTCATCACTCAACAAGCATTTACTAAGTGCCTGCAAGATGCCTATGCCTGGAAATACATGATGGAACAGAACATCAAGGCTGCTTTCCAAGAGCTCACAGAGTTTCTGCCTTCTAGCAGTAACTCCAGAAAAAAGTGGAGGTGGGTGTAGCCCTGCCCAAGGCAGGAGGTCAACCAAGTACCATAAGGAAGGGGTGCTCTCAGAGGGGAATACAGGTTTACCTAGGATAGGTCTGTTTAACTGGAAGCAAGCAGCAGAAGCTTTGATTCTGTTTATCATGCCTGCATGTGAAGAATTAATGTCACTGCACGGATGAAAAACAAAAAGTGGACTCTTCTTTATGAGGGTGATTTTTTACCCAAGCATCACTCTCTTTCAAGAGAAACACTGGTTAGTTCATTGCATTCATGTTGTCTGCAGACTGTTTACCACACTGTAAACTCCTCTGAACAGAAATCATTGTTTGTCACGATCGTATAGTTATATCCCACCCCACTGCTGCCTTCCATCAGCAACAAGCACCTAACATAATGCCCAGAGTAAAGGAACGATGCAGATTGCAAAAGGGGCACAATTCACTCATTTGGTATCACTTCTACCCTTCTGCATTCCTCACTATGTTTTTTTAGGATTGTTTAAGGAGTATTTGTTGTTTCTTCTACTTTTCTGAAGTAGAACTGACACCACCACCACACCATCCCCCAAAATAAGCCAACTGTGGGATTCTGGAGAAAAATTACTTGGCGGTAACTTTGCCAGAGCCTTTGATAGCTCAGGCCCATTGAAGGAAAAATGGGAAGCAGAATTTCTACTTATAGTAAGAAAAAGTTGGAGCAACTTTTCCCTTGGAGATTACATCAAAGATATTTGAGGTTATGTTTTCCATACTGGTTGCCCTGAAATTGAGGGAAGGAACACAAGAACTTTTCCTCAATGAAGGCAAGCCTGGCTACCTACAGAAGGGCAATGGTGCTGCCAGACCCCAGCCCGGGAAGCCATACAGCCGGATGCAACTGCAGCTGGGAGTCCAGAGACAGCCACACTGCCTCCATCCTCCACCATCCACCCAGAACCTCGAGACCACAGGCTCATCTTCACTACCACTTTGAGGGTCATCTGTGGCTGTCTTATAACAAATTTCAAAGCTAAATAAAAGTGAGTTAGAAATTACTTGCCTAACATTTCTATTCTTTTTATGATAGTGCAAAGTAAACCAGTAAGGCTGTGATGCAGGGAAAGTCCCTGTACCATGTTTACAGAGGAACTCTGTGAGGATGACTGTGGTGTCAATGCACTAGGCCTGTGGATGTCTGTGTGAGTATGCCTCTGTTTTTCTGTTTTGTTTGGTTTTTCTTGGGGGGGATGTTTTTTGTTTGTTTGCTTGTTTTTTCTGAGACAGGGTCTCTGTCGCTCAGGCTTGAGTGCAGTGGATTGATCTTGGCAGATCAAGGGATCCTCCCACCTCTGCCTACTGAGTAGCTGGACTACAGGTGTATGCTATCACATCCAGCAAATTTTTATATTTTTAGTAGAGACAAAGTCTCCCTGTGTTGCCCAGCCTGGTCTTGAACTGGGTTCAAGCGATCTGCCTGCTTTGGCCTCCCAAAGTGCTGAAATTACAGGCATGAGCCACTGTGCCTGGCCCCTTTACCTCTGTTATGTTGGGGTGGGACAAATAAGACTGAATAATATTGGAAATATAACCCATGGGCTTGTCACTAAAGCAGCTAATTCTCAGCCATAAGACAGTTTCCCTGGGAGACCAACTGGACTGAGAACATAGAGGTAAGACAGGCAACTAGGAGTGGACAGCTTATTTTTTCTTGATATCTTTGAGACACTCTTGCATGGAGGTACATAAACACATTGCTCATTAAAGTGTTACCAGGATCTATTTTAAATAACACGTGCCCAGGAGCAATGTGTGCTGTTCTCACTTCTCTCCTTGACAGTCTCGCTAGACAGGAGAATGTCATAGAAGGTGGGTCTGAATTTCTGCTAAGCCTTTTACAAATGTCCTCCATGATATTCTTGCATACAAGATGGTGAAAAATGAATGGGATGAGCACATAGCTAGGTAGAATTGCTGTAGATAAACTGCATGGACCAAAATGTTTGTTAAGACAATACAGTAAGCTTTAGGTGGAATACAGGTCTCTGGTAATGGCCACAGAGCTCCTCCCTTGACTGTTGTGTTTAACTTTTAAAACAATCATTTCCTTAGATCATGAGATCAAAGATATGCTTTTAAAATGGGCAGATGATGCAAAACTGGTATCGTGGGCTTCATGGCATAATAGATGACCAAAATCAAGATGTAAAATTATCTGGGCAGATTCGAACACTAGGTCAAAATTAACAAGGGCAAATTTCATGTCTGAGATCTACATTTTTAAATAAAAATATAGTAATCACCCAGTCTTTTGTATCTACCCTAGAGAAGCACTTGTACATGTGTACAAGGAGATGCTGTTTATGATGATTTTGAAAACCAGAAATAATCAAAGAATTGCTACGGAAACTATGGAATATCCACACTGTGAAATATACTATGCAGATTTCCAGGACGTGTTGCATACAGAAAACTTGCAAAATGATATGTTAACCTCAAACACACCTACACGAATTCACACATTTATGCTGATATATACCTATATATGTAAACTAACAAAAGCTGTCTGGAAGTACCCCTAATAACTAATACCAGGATCTACCTTCAAAGAGACACTGAGTTGACATGGAGTTCAAAAACGCTTTGGCCTTATGGGTAGCCTGTGAAATTCACAATGTATTTGTGTTAAACTAGTGTAATTAAGCCTTCTTTTTAAAGTACACCCTTGCTTTTAGCTTTTTTAAAAAATGTTTTACAATGGAGGAAAGGATACAAATTCTTGGGCTTTCAGTTACCGCAAACCTAAGAGGAGTCAGTATTGCGGAAAGACTACAGAAAGCTAACTTATACTCTACAGACTGTGTTAGAAGTTTGGTGTTCAGATAGCCTGCAAGGACTAGAGTTCATTAAGCTGATCATGTCTGGAACACTGGGTTGGATCCAATTCTGGCAGCAGGAACACTGGCAACACAGAATGCAACTAGAGGAAAGAAATGCTCTGGGGATTATGAAAAGCACAACATCAGAATAATAAATATTGGACTACAACTGTTTAACCTGAAGACAAAAAGATTATGGAAAAACAAACAGGTTCCTTCAAATATTTGAAGGCTTGTTATGTAGATGAATCACTAAACTTATGAGTTTTTCCAGAGGTAAACATGAAGATAAATAAATACAAGTGATTTTTTTCTATTAAAAAAGAAAAAGAAAAACATTCTAACAGGAACAAATGACAAAACAGCCTATCAGGCCAGGTCATGAGCTCCCTGTCATCGGAGGTATTCAACTAAAATACTGTATGTAAAAGGATGTTGGGTTTTATTAGAATAAAACTATATGATATTTAATATCTCCAACAATTCTAATGTTCTATGGTTCCATATTTCGACTGCAGAATCAATTTTCAATCAATGTATAATCTCAATTCCAAATCCCACAGGTGGTATACTCTACCACCAGGTGGCAGTAGATGCCTTGGGTTCTGGGTCCTAAATGTTAGGTGTGGTTAAAAAGAAGTTAGCATAATACTTTTAAAACTAAAATAATAAAAGAACAAAGTCCAATCATTATGCCAAAAAAGTAATTCCTTTTAAAGAAACATGTAAGTATAATTCATAATCTTTCTGATTATTCCATCACAATGGTTCTTAATCCATTGACTTTCCTCCTGTACATTTCTTTTGTACAGGGTCTACAGAGACCCCTTACCTTGTGTGGCCTCCTCTCTCTGATGTCAAGCTTCCTGACTTGTATACAGTTCCTGATCCCTGTGTCTGTTCTTGATGGAAAACTCCCCTCTGCTTCCTCTGCAGCTGCAGATCATGTCTGCCACTACAATCTTTCTTCCTGACCCAAGAAGAACTATTGGAGGGTCAGAAAAACACCCAGCCCCTTCCTGCTTCTAGCCTTCCTACTCTGTATCCACACAGCCAAAGCCACAAAACAGGCAATCAACAAACAAAAACAGAATAGGCTCCAACCTAACAGCATGAAAGTATATGATTATCTCTTCCCAAATACAAGAGAATAATCTTCCACCCAGCTCTTAAAGAGAAAACTTTCCTTCTCCAGCCACAGCTGTTTGGGTTGGTGTTGCTTAAAATTTAAATACAATTAACAACCCTTGTTCCAGTCCCTAGAAACCTTCAAGTGCTAACAGTTACCTTGGTTGAGAGTGAGAGATCACTTCAGAAAATCTAGTACTAAGGAAGTATTTCTGTAAGCACTTGCAAGTAAATGCAAATGAAACAAGATTTATTAAACTAAGACTTAAGGCAATTTTACTATGTACCTGAGTCAAGGATCTACTCATCTTTCTAGTCTCAGGTGAAAGACCTCTTCTTCCAGGAAGCCCTCAGGACGTTAGGACTATGCCTGTTGTCTCTGCTCTGTGCTCCCATATCCTCCTCAGTATCTCCCATCACAGCCCTGCACCTGCCCTGTCACCATCCTTACCACATACATTATGGCCGCTCTACCAGCCTGTTTCCCTGTTACACAGCAAGGCCTAGACTGTACCTGATGCTTTTATCACTGAGCCCCTCAACACAGTAGAACCCAATAAACATCCAGGAGACTATGATAAATAAACACAACATCAATTAACTAATCAATGTGGAACCCAAGACTGGGCAGCTGTTTCACTGAGGTAAATATCCACTCCACAAACACTTTGTGTCTCTTAGGCCAGTTATAGTTCAGAATGAGTCAAACCCAGATCCTGCCCTCAAACAACGTACAGTTGAGTAAGGAAATCAAAACAAGTACACATATCTATAGCACAAAATATATACAGGAGCACCACAAAAAGATGACTATCAGAGGATGGAAAAACAGCAGCAAAGGCACAAAGATCACCAAGTAGTTCAGGTAACTGGAACTAAGCCTATGGGACAGGTAATAACGGGGCTAGAGCCTAGAGGTCCTTGAACAATACCTTTGAGTACTCAGTACATACCAGGCTAACTGCTTTACATTCATGATCTCATTT